AAAAAAAAAAAAGAACACTTAACTCTCTTGGATATTATGTTTACGTCTTGTTTTAGCAAAAAACATTAAGAGACTGAATTTATGGATGAAGATTCTTGTTTTAAAGCCATTGCTGCAAATCATTCTGAAGCAGTTGTAACATTGCCTCATTGTGATATAGACGTGAACTGAATGAAGAGTTTACGGTTGGCTAATGGTTATTTTTAGCTTCCTTTTTTTGTACGGTTTATAGAAAGTTATTTTTTAGCTTCCTTTTTTTTACGGTTCATAGTATGCTATAGACACGTAAATCCACCATGATCAAGTTATTTAGCTTCCTTTTTTTTGTATGGTTTATAGAAAGTTCATCCTAAGTTTATGCTTGAATAAATTTAAGGTTAATCCAAGTTCGTGCATAATCTCATAGCAGTCCGGGTTCTGCGTTCTTAAACAATGTACATACAACATGAAAGTGTTTTTTTCTTTCTTTCTTCTTTTTTTTTTCTCCTTTAGTTTTGTTGAGAAGTGAACTCAAAACATTTGTTGTACCAGTGTTTTGTTAGGTGGATTGTATGTTATTGATGCCAGTGGCAAGGCGCTGTGGGAGATGCGTAATCATGGGGTAAGAAATCGAGTTGGCTTACTTGCATTATGTATTTTTCTTAATTTTTTTTTTTTAAATTTCCTGCCTTTATAATGATGAAATCATTTCAGAATCTAGAAAAATGTTAAGAATCTAGAGAAATGTTAAGCATGTACTTATTATTATGTTATCGTTTTTATTGCAGAAATCATTTGAAGAGGCGATAGAATCTGTAGAAAAGGCTAAAACACGCAAAGATGGCTCTTGCTAAACTCCATTTCAAGGTTTCTGTTTGTTTGATTCGTGCTGGATTTTATTGGCTGCTCATCCCAGTTTTCTCGAGCGAAATAAAGAGTAAAGTTTAAGTCAACTTGTATAGGCAAACAATATATGGTTTTATAGGCACCTGTGCATTAAAGCACTTAATTTTTAGGTGTGTGCATACAAATCAGACTTAACTGACGTAATCGCATTTCGTAGCACTTAATTGTTAGGTGTGTGCATAGAAATTAGACTTAATTGAGCTAATCGTGTTTCCTATTGTTCAGAATATAGAGATACCAATTTTTGTCACTTAAAATCTACAATGCTACAAGTGCTGGTTTCATGCTGTAATTTTAATTTTTCTGGATTAATGTGCAGCAGCTGATTATTGTAAACATGGCACATGGCACTTTTTAGGTGCCACTAAACTTTGGCTAATTCAACTTGCGTATGTCAGGTTTCGAGCCATCAGATCACATAGTGTGTGCGTGTGTATTGATCAAACGGCTCTGTTTATTCTGCCAGTGGCTATTGAGATGAACCAAATTTATTTTACCATTTCTCATCTGATAGAAAATTGTATGAATTTCTAGGAAAATTGAGGTAGAATTACGATAAAGTCCTCGTACTCAGTCTAGATTGTGCCTCCTACGATTTAACGAATGATACATTATTGTCTACCCTTAATAACTGTGATGATATTTTTTTAAGATATTTTTTTGCAGGGCTGTCCCTCGAGGCACTGTTGCTTCTTCTATTTTAGGAAATCCCTTTGCATAGTGGTTCGACTCCATCAATTTGCATTATTGTAGAAATCCATGGTGAAGTTCGTGCCTATTCTTCGTTGTACAATATTAATACTAAGAGTTTTCTTCTCAATGCCACATTTGTCAGGTAAATTTTTTATTTGCTTTAACGCTGTTGATATTACCTCTGTTTTTTATGCTGTGTTGCTTGTTTGTGGTTCATAGTTGATATTCGTATTTGGTGATTTATGAAGTGATCAGGGGACTTACAGTGCTTGTTTGTGGGAAGGATCTTTTCGTGTGTTCACTGAAATGGTTGTTCTTAAACTTTGATTTTGTTCTGAGTTAAATAAAAATCTCTATTCATGATTTCGGATTTTTACAATACGATAAAAATAAAATAAAAGAAAAGAAAAAAATCCTTGGATATGCATGGAATCAATTATTATTTTCTGTGACTTGTTTTTTTCATTTCATAACTGATCTGATTTATCTTGCAGCTTTAGCATGGAAGTTTGGTACTATTTATTTGGCCAAATGTGGTCATCAAGAATTTTAGTATTCATGTATCATCAATTTTTTTTTTTTAGGAAATGTATTAGTTTATTGTTGATTGTGTCCATCTACTTTTAGTTAATGCCACTTGGGTATTTTTTTTTTTTTTTTGATATATAGGGTTCCAGTCCCACTCCCACTATACAGAGTTGCAGTCAATCCCTAGCCCTAATCTCCGGCCCCACAGTGATTTCGGGAGTTAAATCTAAGACTTGCGATAGTGGCTTTCAGTTAGTCCGAAGTTGTACACTCTTGGGCGACCAGCGGGTCGACCACTTCAGGTATCTGCATTCTGTTCCTCCCAGGTTTCGATCCCGCCACCCGGTGCTTCCAAGCGAACTTGCGGCCCCCCATCCCACCAACTGCGCTACGCCCCGGGGGCCACTTGGGTATTATTTAGTTTAGTGACTTGTGATGTTCTTTAGAGTTGGGACCTTGTGGCCACTAAGCATACTTTTGTAACTCCCTTGCGTTGAGTGTTGTGGACTTTGTATGTATTTTGTTGTGTCAACCGATGTTGCAGTCCAATTTTAGAGGGTACTATAAAGTTATTTTTTCAATGGGGTTTTTATTTATATATTTATTAATACTATTATTTTGGTAAATTTGCACGTAAAGTTTAGTTTTTCCGACAACATAAAATAGCATAAATAAATTAAATTTATAAACTCAACTATTCGAATATTGAATTTTTGTAGGGGATTTTGAAGATGATAAGTAGATAAATAAAGTTGGTATAAATAATGTACACTTTGTTATAAATTGGAACTCTTAATCTTCAACAAGCATCCATCAATCCAAGCATAAAAGAGGTGTAGTAAAGAACAAGAAAAGAGAAGCAGAAAAGTCTATCTTTTATTCATCGGTATTCACTCTTTTATAGAGTTTACAATAGAGAAACCCTAAAACTTAATCCTACTAACTAATGGACTTCAGGCCCAATTATATATTAGTAATGTCCATATTAATATATTTATAACACTCCCCCTTGGACATTACTACATGCCTCATTAAAAACCTTGCTAATAAAAACCCAACTGGGGAAAAAAAATAGTCAAGGGAAAAAGAGTACATGATTTATAAAAATTCATGTGTTTTACTAGCTGCCTCGTCAAAAACCTTTACTAATAAACCCATTGGGAAAAACTTAGTTAAAAGGGAAAAAGAGTACAGCATTTGGTCTTCAGGACCTAATCTTCGGGATTATTTTGAGTTTTTCCCTCCCCCTGAAGACAATAGTCTTCCCAATTTACGCATACCAATACCATAAATGTATTTTTCAAAAGTAGATGTAGGAAGGGATTTGGTGAATAGGTCTGCCAAGTTCTCGCTAGACCTTACCTTTTGTACAATAATCT